GAAGTGCGAGGACTGGCAGTGGCACGGCGCATCAGTCTCAGCGGTGCAGTCCAGGAGAATGCTCATGTTAAGTCAGTCAGCATCTAATGGTGGCAGGCTTCAGGTGGAGTCGCCAACCCTGATACAAAGTATAGATCACTGACCTGGCCTAATTAGGGCTAACATGTCTCAGAGTCCATATATTCAGTTTGCACTAGGCCTGAATAAATCAAAAGGGCGTAAAACGTTCTCTTTACCTGCAGTCAGCGACCACATTTTTACAAAAGCTGTTCTAGTGTCTAGCCTAATCAAACATGGTTTTCTAAAGAATAGTAACATGATCTCACATGAATAAAAGTGCATGAATGTGCTTGCTTACTATTCACAAGTTTAGGACAAACAAAATGGATATTTAAAAGGTTATTATCTTGGCTAGGCTACTGTAATTGACCAGAGCAACAATTTAGGCTAGCTAAAGTTACTAGCACAACCAAAATTATAACTAGCCTAGAAACTTTTAACATGATTGGGTCCAGACCAGCTCACAGTTAAACACAAAAATTACACAAAATGACTCAAAAAATTACACAGAATTTACGTTAACACTTTAACTTGGTCTTTTAACCTTAAACATGGAAATTGGCTCAACTTTTAATATCACTTGTACTGACCAAGTTAACTCAACGAGGCATGCACATTGTGTTATCTAGTGGACTCGAAACTCTCAGAAAACAGTACAATAAACATCAAAATGACTCTATAAAACATTTCTGAACAATAGTGAAACAGTGAAAAATGAAACAAAATGAAATAAGCGAGGACTAGGCCTGGCGAATTCAACTTACCCGTGGTATGAAAACTCTTAGCCAAAGTACGTCATGCTGACGATGATGGAAAGGGGCCTATGAAGGTAAAAACTTCAGGGATCACAAAAGAAAACTCTTCCGGAAGAAAACCCCGTAGCCTTGGAACAATCTCAAACCCAAAATCGGAGAAAACGGGAGCCACAACGTCAAACGAACGAAACGTCCAGCAGAACGCAGCCAGTAGTACCAACCACGCAACAAATTAACAGTGCCGTTGAGCATTGAGCACATACACACGGCACAAATGAGTATCTAATCCATTAAAAAAAAACTATTCTTATATTATCCTCAGCTTTATTACTGTTTATTCAATACTTTTGCCAATATAAACTAGCGATATATCTGTATTTTTTATATTTTTAAAGGTTTTAATAATAATTATCATCACTAAATTACTCTTTTCGTTGGTTGTCGTGTCTTGTCGTTGTCATTGTTGTCAATAATGTCGTCTGATTCTGACTGATGTCAGATGTTACACTGAATCGGTCACAGGGATAATAAACAATGTAACCTACCACTAGCTTACCTAACTAAGTTTGAGTGTTGCTATTAGCAGTGTGGGATGATTGCACTGGACAGTTTAGCTATCTATTTCAGAAAAATAAAGTTTAAAATAAATCAAACCCTAGGATCTGTTTTGGCCGTTTTGAGATGGGTGCTTTCAGGACTCAGTTTAGCCTAGCCTGAACAACTGTGTTAGTAGCTTGACTTAGTGGTTCGTCCATGTTTAGTTTATTAACACTAATCAATGCCTAATCTAGATTATACGTACCTTTCTACTCCGTTTTAAAACTAATATACATAGGCATAAGCTTTAATTTTTGTATCAAATACTGGGTGCATCATTAAGGTAACTCGGTTAGGTTGCTTTTTATAAATGAATAATTTCATGAATCACTAAAACTCTACATTATCTATGTGTGTTTAGTACATAATGACACTGTCAAAAAAGTACTAATCTAATCCTTACCCAAATAAGATAAAGGTATGTAGCTTTAGGCATACAGAGGATGAGTGTTTATATTTATATTACTTCTCTGTGGTTAGGTTTTAGTGATGCTTGTCTTATGATGGCTATAAGTTTAGGACTAGATATCAAATAAACTCCCAATTAACTTGTACGGCAGCCTAGCCTATAATTTGTCAGTGTCAATGAAATAGTGCAATTATATCGAGGACAACCAAACTTGAATATACAACCATGTTTATACCTAAGTTTCCTTTTTGGTCCTCACCAACAAGGATCAACCGTAATTGTTTTCAGACAGAAAGTGTCCTGAGTTTCCGGAAAATTGTAACTTATTACATTTTAAAAATTAAGGGTAAATTAAAGGTTTTGGTTCTGGTTTCGGAGCGAGTCCAAGTTCTTGCGGTGACTAATACTTAATGGGTGAGGTGAATAAAATGTAGTACATACTACATAGTTCGTACTACATAGTTCTAGCACTTGCTCAAATCGAAGTGAATAAGAATTAGCTAGAACTAGGTAGTAAGTACTAGGGGTTCCCTATGTGATGTAGTAAGTACTACCTGCCTAGTACTTACTACCCCCTAGTACCTACTAGAGTTATTCACTAATAAACAAGCCAAAACAGGCGCGCGGCGATAATCAGCTGTTTGTCATTATTCCGTTGGTAATTCCTGACAGCGCCTGCAGTTGTATCAGACGTGCTGAGTGAGTAGTAAGTAGCATTGCTACAAATTTGAGCGAATGGTGGTGTTTTGGCCCCTGGGGACATCAAAATGAAAAAGTAAATCGGTCCCGGGCCTAGGTCTTACCATGCCACCTACAGTAATAGCTACTTCCTTATAGGGAAATTCGCTAAAAAGAGAAAATAACCAAACGCAACAATCCTATCGAGATAAAAAATAAACAATTAATTTGCAATTTTACATAATTCCTAATATGCAATTAATGTTCAATCCAATTAAAAAATATCGTTTATTTAAACACTTTGTTATTATATAATTAAATCTTATTTACGACCGATAAGAAGGTATTTTAATTTGTACTAAAAATAGCTCAACTTACCCGGATCACCAAAATAACAAAATAAAACTTCAATTTTCTGTCGAGATGACAGTGCCCCTCCTCTTCTCTCAACTTCACCATTGCCAGGCAAAAACTCGTTGGTAAAAAAATCAACACTATCATTCTCAAATCGCAGTAATTGCTTACAGTTACCAATATTTCTTCGTTCAAGGTATGTTTTCCTGTTACGGACTTGTAAAAACATCGCCATATTCGCAAACGACCAAACTGAAGCATGCCCTTGATCGTACTACATAAAAATGAAGTAACTACTACGCCGACTGGTTTTTATTCACCGAAAAGGCCTAGTAGATACTACTTTCCCTATGTGATGTAGTATGTACTAGGGGTAGTACGAACTAGCATTTTATTCACCTGCAAGTCGTAGTTTGTACTAGAGGCTAGTACCAACTAGCATGTTTATTCACCGAAAACCGAGTAAATACTTCGAAAAGAAGTACGTACTACCAAATACTACCTTTTATTCACCTCACCCAATACTTCAAAGGAAGGAAGGTGAGAAGATTTTCTTACTGCTGATAGCCTTTTTCGAATTCATTCAATTCGTGAAAAATACTGGGTAATTTCTATAGTTTGGGCCGTTTAGGGGAACCAAACAAAATTTAAAAACTCTTCTATCTCATCATTTCATTAAACTATGATATTATTATTTTTATGGAAGTTAAATAGGTTTCAAGAAAAAATATACCTACCGCAAATTATTATTTTTGGGATAGAATTACATTGACCAAAGAATACTCTCAGAGTATAGTGTAGTGATAAAGTTTCCCGAGCAAAGCTCGGTCCCCAGGTACTTAGATTAAACAGAACAAACAACCGTTTCATATGGGATGTTTTGTGTTATATACAAATTGTGTATTTTGCTGTACGCCTATAACATCATATGAGAGTTTAGGAAGAAGCTGCCCTATAAGTATTGACTTTTGATATCCTATTTTGAACGACTTATTTAGAGTGTATATGAAATAGGCTGCAGATTGTTGTGTATATTATAACGTACTAATCCACTCCGGGCTACGATAGTACCAGGAGCCTCAAGATTGAAAATTGGCCAGTATCCACCACTGTATATGTCCTCTCAACTTACAGTAGTGTACCTCATCAATCTACCTGACCTCCACAAGACTGGCATCATGCGGGAGCAACTGGACTAGATCGAGGAGTACCTAATTTAAACCTGTTCTAGACGGTATTTTATCACACACTCTTTAGAATGTTACGCAAAATCATTTTATCTGCAATGTAAAGTAGGCTATTTTATATTTTATGAAACTACTTACTGGCTCAGGTATATAAATTCTAGATCATTTAATGTTCGTGGTTGTTGGTCTGAAGACCAAAACGTTTGGAAAATTTGAAAATGTTGCTCTTTCTAACTTACACACCAGTACTAAATTCCCCCTCCTTTTTATTTTAATAGGGGCAGTATTGTAAATCGCCCTTATATGCTTATGCCCAAGTTCATCCTGGAAGGTCCTTTGGACAGCTTCGAAGAAGGCCCTCGAGCCTCACTGGGGACACGGCGAGAGCCTTTAGCTCCACGTAACAGGCTCTATAACCATTGTCGATCGTAGATCAACTATCCTTCCATCTGCCTATGCCATTACAGCACTACTTCCAGTCCAGGAAGACAGCCCAAGGCGAGTAGTGGGTCACCACAACAACTTTCCTAATGGTCAACAACATGTTCCACGAGGTGTGATCCCTTAGAGTCACAGACTTGAAGTTCCTATACCTAGTAAGTTTAATTGGACTATCACCAAATGACTGTCAAGGATGGGTATAGCAATGACCGTTGCTGCAGGAGATGTTGCTACAATTACGAAACTACCTCATCCATAATGAGCCAATGGTTCAACCACTTGGTGACTAGAGTGACGAGATCGTAAAACTACATCCTGAAAAACTGGTGGCAACTATTCAAGATGTTGGTGTGCAGGGCAATATAATTACAGGACCTGTGACGCCTATGACTCTGGTTTGCTTCCTTTGTTTATTTATACAAAAGCCCTTGGAACTGTAATTCGTTTATGTACAAGTTAAAAATAAAACTTTAAAATCCCCTAAACAGTATAAATTACGGTTGATGTTATTCAACATACTTATACACTCCGGTATGCGAGGGTACCAGGAGCCTCTTGACAAACATGTAGCTATGTCTCCTCCACTGTACACGTCATCAACAGCTCCTCTCAGACTGTAGCCTGGGTTGCAGACGACTCTGACTCTAGTAGCCTGTGATCCCGCCGGAATAATGCATCTTGCGTCACAGCTGTCACAATGTTCTGCCAAGGAACAAAACTTCCTGTTGTCAGAGTCTCTCGGCAGCATACAACTTTTATGCCTTGAACATCAAATGGTTTTATTTCAGAATGGTTTGTCATTTTACATTCCTTAAAAACACAGCAACAAAATGAAATTAACTTCTCCAAATGCATTAAACCAGTCATTAAAAAAATGTAGACTAACCTTTATCAAGGTGACTAAAATATTACATAAAATATTCTTCTTCATGGAACCTTTGACTGTTAATACCAACAATTCAATGATGGATCTCAATTAATGTTTTGATCAACTGTAGCATCCTTTTAGCGAATTTCCCATATAGGGAATAAGCTATTACCGTAGATCTCATGGTAAGACCTGGACCCGGGACCGATTTAATTTTTTGTTTTGAGGTCCCCAGAGGCCAAAAACACTATCCGTTCAAATTCATTTATATATTTATATGTTTATATATTTATATGTATATTTATATATTTAGATATATATATATATATATATATATGTGTGTGTGTGTGTGTGTGGGTGAGTGTGTGTGTGTGTCCGTTAGCGCGATATCTCGAACAAAAATCATCCGATTTCGATGAAATTTGGTATAAACGTGTAAACCTAAATTTATTCGAACGCGTTCGCGAACCAGCATCATCGGACCATGGGTACGGGGGTTTATGGGGGGTTTTATGGGGTAAAAATTGGCTTTTCCTATTTTAGACCCCAAAAACATAACATTTTGGGATTTCTTTCCCAACCGTTTTGTGGAGCATAAAAAAAAGAAATAATTTAGTATATTGAAGCATTGTTGTATGCCTAATGGTTACAGAGAAAATTCAAAAAAGGGCAAATTTAAAATTCCCATGTCATTGTTATGAAGAAAATGAAAACTGTTGTAGTTGACTTGTTTATGGATATATTTTGATCAAATTTGGTAAATTTATTTATTTCATCCTATACTATTGACATCTTGTCAAAAAACACTGTTTACCTTCCCTGTAGCAGCAAACCTAAGCACTCGTCAAATCTAATGTTATTTAAATTGGGAATAAATATTTCTTATTTATGGAAATATTTTAGTAAATATGTAATCAGACAAGTTGAAATTCGCTTAGTCTGCAGGTTTGCTGCGGCGGGGGTATTATTATCATCTGAGACTTCATGATACTTTAAAGTCGTCAGTGAACTAAGGGGCTATTAATATTTTGGAAAAACACATACAGATTAAACTGTTTGAGATAGTACAGAAGTGTTATTGCATTTTTTGTTTGTTTTGACCTCCTGAATAATGTAATAAAGTTTGTCCAAGTGGAATCTGGTCACCCTGTAAATGAATAAACAATCCATCAATAAAAATCATACAAGCTCTTTAAAACCTACTTTTATTTATATCGCTAATCAACAGTCTTTGAATGAAATTTTAATATAATATAATGTTTATTTTTTTAAATTACTGTTGGGGCAATACATTTATCTAAATATTTTGGGTAAATGACTCAGAAGAATGATCATGTTTACTTAATGAAACTGTTTGTTTAAAAATCATGAATGTATCATGAATCACAAATTTAGTAAATAAAAACCTTTACTTACTTTGGTTGATCAGGATTGTCTAAAAATTCATGTTCAACCCACGTAAAGCTTGGATGATACTTTTTTACTTCGCCTTCCATCCATATCATGTTATAAGGCCATGTGATATTGGAGAAGTACGTTGTCTTTTCAAATTTTACGCTGATCAAGCCAAAGAGATAGTGAAGTCCTTCGTAGACAGCCGTAACTCCCCCACCACTATCGCCTGGTTGAGCGATTGATAACTCTGAAACATATCCAGAGTTTAAAGCATGACAATTATAAAACGACTCAATTTTCATGCTAAAAGGTAATCATTGTTTAGTAGCCTGGTCATGTCAAAATGCTTCCATATTGTAGCCATAATCATTGAAAGACTAGTTACGGGCTGTGTTTTAAACATAGAATTTGAGTTGCCGCTACTGAAATCTTGTTGAACCGGTTCTCAGTTATCCACCATCCCTCTATATCTATCCATTCAGTCGAAATTCCACCGTAATTTAAACAGGCAGTCGTGCATGTGCAGAATTAGTGATTATTTGGGAGCCTTTTACCTAAAAATGTGTTAATCTTAAATAATCACCTGAACTGTTTTTACTGGCACAGAACTTTTCGAAGGTTGGGAAACCAGAAGGAGCTCGCTGATTGCACTCGTAAGACGGGACCGGAGTAACATCGTTGTACAGAAGGGTTTTACTAATCATCCCGTTCTCCTTCTTTCCCCAACCTACAACCTGCATAAAAACATTTCAAACAATAGAGTTATCAAAAACGATATACCGGTGTATGTCAAAATATCAAACTATTAAAATAAATCTTCAGTTTTAGATTTTTAATATTACAGGTATTCCATCAAGTATGAAATTAAGCTGGCAATATGCATGTGGGTACACCAAATCATTGAAAAGTATTTACATTATTTATTTTTATCAATCAAACACAGTAGGTTTTTTTCTATAATTCTAGTTCAACAGTTTTGAATAGTACCCAACATTCAATTTTGATCTCTTATACAGGGTGTCCACAAAAGAACTGACACATTTGAGAGTCAAATACTTATACAAAATAAAAACTATGTTTTATATATGTGTTTAAATAAAAAAAATTCTCAAGTTGTATTAGAAACTTAGTATAGCTCTATATGAGCACCCGGCATAATAGTGGAATCATTTTAGTGTTGAACCCCAACAAAATTGCAACACGAGCAATTTTTTTTTTAAATGATAGCTAAGAGTGCCCTTAATAAGCCCACAAAAATCGCCATTAATCGTACCTTGGCAACATGCCCTAAAATTCAAAATGGCCGCCAAGATGGCTGCCAAATTATATATTTTGGCATATATCTCGAGAACGGTTAGTTTGATCAAAAACGTTAATTTAGCAAATATGTAGCTCTTTTCATGCCGATCAGTTTTTATATATGCATTTTGTCAGTCAGACGTATGGTATGGCCACAATGTGAAGAGCCGTACTTCATTATAATCTGCCTTTTTCAAAAAAAATCAGAAATTTCATTTTTTGATGACTTAATGTTAGAAAATACAAATTGTACCTCAAAATAATTTTAAAGTTGTTTGCCATGTGGTTTCCTACTTATTTTTAGTTTTTACACAGTCGCTTTCTTTCCTTTAGTCTTACAGAGTCGCTGACAGCTTCTTATTTTACTTATCTATTGGTGTAATATTACAACAAATTACAACTTGCTATTCAGAAGTGACAAACGACTTTCAGATCATGTTTATACCATTAAAAAAATTAGATCCTCACTTCGAGAAGATTTAGCTAAATCTCTATTAGCTCTGCACGCCTATACAGGGTGCGACACTACTTCGAGGATTTTTCACATCGGAAAACTATCTGTATTCAACAGAACATTAGAAGACGAGTATTTTCAGGGTCTGATGTCATCTTTCAGCTCACAAAATCTGAGTCCAGATCAAGTTGAAGAAATCGGTCTGAAACTAATGGTTAGTCTGTTCAATGGGAATAAGAACAAATCAATGAACACATGTAGATACAAAAGTATTTTGTCAAAATTAAAAAAAAAGCTAAAAGCTTTGAAAAGCCTCAGCAACTTCCTTCAACAGAGTCAGCAGTAAAGTTTCACAGTCTGCGTGCCTATTTACAAATTCAAATATGGAAAAGGGCAGAAGATAGTATGATAACTACAGACTGATGATGGACTTTGCAGGACAACATGTATGTGCCCCAAACGATGGATTTGCCAGCAACACCAGAGACATTGTTAAAAATGATTAGATGCAATTGCAAGACTGCTTGTAATTCAATGAGATGTGTGTGTAAAAAAATGGATTTAACTGCACTATTTCCTGTGGTCATTGTTTAGAAAACAATAGTGAAAACAGTTTCCAGTTTTCATTGGACAAAGAAAAGACGATGAGATTAGTATTTTTGAAAATGTTGACTTAACTTTTAAATCATTTGGCAAAATTATGTTAACACAATGGTAAAACTACGTTTATATGTTCATGTTATACATATTGTATGTAGGGATCTTTTTTTAGTAGTATTGAATAAAATTGTATGATTTAAATAACATATATTTTTTTATTACATATCCATATCCTGGCTTCTTACTTATCCCTTAAAATGGGAGATTATTTAAATCATGCAAAAAAATTGTTCATAATCATAAAATCCCAAGTAAAACTGAAAATAAGTAGGAAACCACATAGCAAACAACTTTTAAATTATTTTGACGTACAATTTGTATTTTCTAACATTAAGTCATAAAAAAATGAAAATTCTGAATTTTTTTGAAAAAGGCAGATTATAATGAAGTACGGCTCTTCAAATTGCGGCCATACCATACGTCTGACAGACAAAATGCATATATAAAAACTGATTGGCATTAAAAGAGCTACATATTTGCTAAAATAACGTTTTTGATAAAACTAACCGTTTTCGAGATATATGCCAAAATATATATTTTGGCATCCCTCTTAGCGGCCATTTTGAATTTTTGGGCTTGTTGCCAAGGTACGATTGATGGCGATTTTTGAGGGGTTATTAAAGACACTCATAGCTATCATTACCAAAAAAATTGCTTGTGTTGCAATTTTGTTGGGGTTAGGTCAAATTTTCTCATAAAATGATTCCACTATAAATCTAAGTGAAATTCGACCTCTTCCAAGGTTTTTATCAGTACTTCAGGGGATATAAAAGGTGACATTATTGTGACATGTTAGAGGAGCCATGCCATGCCATTGAAATGGAAAATGGTCCTGTCTATTTTCAACAGGATGGAGCGCCACCACACTACAGTTTGCGTGTGCGAGAAGCGCTAGATTTTCGTTTTTAAGATTGGTGAATTGGAAAGGAAGGGCCCATCAAATGGCCTCCTTGGAGTCCAGATATGACTCCTCCGGACCTTTTCCTTTAGAGGTCAGTAAAGAATGGTGTCTACACGATGCAGATTCGGGATCTGAATCACTTCCGACAGAGAATAATCGCATGTGTTGGTGCAATATCCCCTGATGTAGGCCTACTGACCAAAACCTGGGAGGAGGTCAAATTTCGCTTGGATTTATGCCGGACTACTAATGGTGCTCATATCGAGTTCTACTAAGTTTCCAATAAAGTGAGAATAATTTTAGCTTTAAATACATATACAAAACAATAAACATAGTCTCTTTTTGGTATCAGTATTTTCTTTTAAAATGTTTCAGTTATTTTATGGATACCCTGTATTATTCGTTAAAATGCTTAAATGAACACAAGGTTTAGTGTAGTAACAAAATATACTTTAAGTTCATTAGTATGAATTTTAAAAGGATAAACCCTATAAAATAATGTATTATTAACAGTTGACCCATAAAGATGAGCTTTTACGGTGAGAACAGTGTGAAGAAAATAGGAGGGAATATTTGATGACAACGTATTGCTGATAGCTTGACCAAAATAAGTATTTGTGTTTGCCACTGTCCGAAAGCTAAAAGAAATATTAACAACTGGCTATAATTTTGATGTATCAAATTTGTACCGTTTATTCTATAAGTAAAATGTCCTCAAATAGATGTAATAATTCCTAAAGCAGATTAAGAAGTATAAGCAGTTTTAATGTGGCTACAATCTGCATGATCATCTATGCAATATGGAGGCAGTGAGAACTCATCACGCATTGGCAGAAGCCAAGTTGTACATTGCAATGGTGTTTTATTACTTGCCACAATAAAGATTAATTTATAAATTGGTTTATAGTATCTTATACTGTATACCTTAATTTCTATTGTACTTACAAACAAATTCTTGTCTTTTATGTAGTTTAAACCATCTAAAAATCCATGACAGACTGGCATTATGAATCCTCCTGGTTTAATTTTCACATCCAGCATCAAAAGCGCAATGTCGAAAATAAAAGTTATCTCGTTGAATTCCCAAGGGAATAATATCATCGAAACCTGTAAAAATCAAGTTTCACATTAATATAGACCTACAAAACTATCACACCCTATAAAGAAAGTACAAGGATAGGTTTGTAAAAGGCATGCAATGTAAAATAGTATATTTTATAACAAGAGTAGAAAGTGAGTTATTAGATATTTGAGACCATGTTGGAAGTGCGAGATTTATCGAGTATTTAAATGGTCGAGAGTATGTATAGACCCACTTTCACTCGTGTTGTGAACTTTACTTTTCGCTACACTACAAAGACTAATTATTTTCTTAATTAAAACAGACATTGGATATTTCTTTATTAAAGATAGGAACATTACAAAACTCATAGAATTGTTTAGGTTATTCCTTCAAAGTTATTACTTGTATTTTACTCTGGTTGTACAGTTATGGCTGTTTAAAATAAACAGTTGACAAAACAATAACAAATCTTTGTTTGTTTGCGTTGGGAAAATCCAAAAAGGATAGTAAACATTACTTTCGCATAGTAAAAGTTCGTTTTCCGTAGTAAAAAATGTAATGATGAATTTTCACAGGTTATAAACATGTAAAAAAACAGGTAATTTCACAGTAGTGTAGCGAAATGTTACATACAGCACTATTTATTTATATACCAATATAAAAGCTTTGTGACCTTCTATAAATTATGTTCTTTCAATCAGCTTAGGATAGAAATATTTTATTCAAACTAGCTGTGTGCCCGTTCTAAACACGGGGATCTTATCGTAGACAGTTGAAACCTTTTTTATATTTAAAATATCAGTTGGTTTGCATATTTTCAGATATGCTGACAAAACTATTACATATAAACCTTCGCAAATACAATATCTAAAAGTTTTTAAGCCAAAACAAATGGATTCGCAATTTAATGTCACCCGGATCGTGTTGGTCTATATGTTAAATCCAATGAATAAACTAAAAGATGCTTTATATATCTATGATCAATAGCCCTAAGGTAGGCCTATAATTTAAAGTTACTTTCCGCTATGGTTAAAGGTATTTAAGGTACTACCTCAACCTCACAATTCAACACTTTATTCGGGTTGACATTTTCATTAACAAGGTGCTCTTGTCCTTTTCATGAAACAATGAGAAATAAGGACATTAATGCGTTACCAACAGACATACACACAAAAATACAGAACTTAACCAGGGACTTTGCTACACTTTAAGCATAACAAAGTATATATAAAATTAGTATTTGAAATCTTTGTTAATGTCATCAAATTTTATCATAACAATTTAATATTTGCTTGGACCGAAGGTGGCCCAAAATGCTGTCGAAATGACGGCTTACTATATGAAATGAAGTAGGCCTACTATAGACGATTTAACTATTGACTATAGGCCTATATATACAAATTATATATAATTTGACTCATGGACTAAATATATATATAATCAATGGTAGGAACAGAAAGTAACACCTTAGAAAAGCGAGTTTAGCATCATCCGTAAACCTCTGTTACAATCACCCACTGCAGTTGTGATTTCTTACTTTACACTTGACAAAACCACCATTGAAGCGTCGTCAATGAGTGGAAACCTTGTTTCTAAGCTATTGGCGACGATCATTTATAAATTTAAGTTTCCCAACCGTATACAACACTGATTCAAGGACTTCTTTCTGGTTACCAAAACTCAAGAACAATTGTATACACAAAGATTCTCTGATTCCTGACCTGGATGATGCCTAGTTATTTAACTTCATTTACGGTTACACTATATTATTGCACTTTCGATTAATTAGATCCGTTATGTGAGAAAAACTTTTTAATCTCACTTGGTTGGGATATGCTTTCAAAACGTGATCAAAATTGTTTGCGGTATTTGTAAACAACATTTGTAAACATATCAGTGACAGCTGGAAAAAATAATCTTGATCAAAACAGCTGTTCGTTATTTCATAGATGATTAATGTAATAAAAATTTGACAAATCTTGACAAAAATCGCTCAAAACTGCATTTTTGAACGTCCGTAATTTTATTTACAACGTAGTGAGGCCATATTTTAATGGCTAAAGACACTCTCGCCAATCCAGTGAATACATTAAAATAACTTGGATCTCGATATGTACTCTCGTTTTCCTGAAGAAGATGGCGTAAAATGCCATCTTGAGTGTTACAGACAGACAGAAAGACAGACAGACAGACAGACAGAAATAGAGCGTACGTTGTAGACTCGTTTCTGCTTCTTTAATGTATAAAACGTAAAAATAACCTAAAAATATACAATTCTGAGCAATGCACAGACAAAACTCTAATTTTATTTATATAGATTATATTTGTAAACAGTATTACGTATTTAACCAGTTATATTAGTCCTGATTAAACGATTTTTTAGGGGATACAAACTCTGTCTTTCTCTGTCTTTATAAACAGATAAGTTTACGGATATTAAAGACTATTTTTTTCACGATTGAATATGCTTATAGTATTTTTTAAGAGGATACACTCTCTACCAAAATTACTCAAACTAAAGTTGCTTTCTTGTATGTATAACAAGGTACACTTATTTTAATACCAAAGGGTTTTCAAACCAATAATATTGCCATGCAATATGATGATTGGCTACCACTATTACTGACTCTACCTCCAGTTGACTACGTAAATCTAAGTTATCAAGTCATGTATCTTTTATGCAACCTTTTTATAAAATTTTAGGCCAAAGTTTATAAAAAAAATATTGAACTTGAGAACAAAGTCTACTCACATTGCGTCTTTCTTCAGTGTGCTCATGGATATCCCATGACCTGAAATATTTGCCCAAAGCCACTCGTAGATCGGCCACATTTCGAACCCTTGCCACGCAATGAGCCGCTAAAAAGTTAAAAATATTGATAAAGTTGCTCAGTAAAACAAAATATGTTTAAGAATAATATCAAGTTTACTTAGTTTTAACACATATACATAAATGTTGCCAACGGACGAATATAGAGATGTACTGATGACTTCCGTACATTTACAACAATTCCTCAAATCTTATAAATGGGTGCAAGCAATTGTTTCGAAAAACGTTTGTCAGAAAACAATGTCCTAAAAGAATTGTACCTTTGAGACACTGCTTTAAAACGCTCTACTCTAAGAATGTGTTTCAAAGCAGTGACTTTCGGAGCAACGCCTGGAACTAAATGAATCGGTAAAAAAGAAAACTATGATTCTGGTAACAGGATGCCGTTTTGTAAAAGACTCTTATTTAAAAGTTATAATTGTATCATTACCTGTTAACACAAACTGGTCATTTATCAAACTTCCACCACATCGTTGGTCCCATATCTCTCTTCCTTTGTAAAAATCACGATAGTAGAGACCTGCGTGCCAAGGGAAGGCACCAACATTGGCCTGTACTCCATCCACGATCAGCGGAGTCAGTTGGCCGACCTCGTTCGACGCACCACACACTGAAATAACAAGTAGACACGACAGTTCCAGTATGGATAAAATTGAAACAAGTAAAATAAATCAAACCTAAATAACAATAATAACAGGATAGATTATTTCAACAGTTATTGAACAGAAATTAAAACTACACATTTGTACAATAATTGACATTAACATGGGCTACATGATTTCTGCTAAAAAAAAAAAAAAAAAAATTGCTGTCATAATAGGCTGTGTAGTATTTCAAAGCTAGTCAATTTTCAATCCCGACTAACCTTAATATTGTTGTTGGACAGTTAGTTAGTCAAAGAGTTTGTTTTAGTTTTGCACTACTGGACGGGGAATGTGGTACGAAACTATGAGGTACTTTGGAGTCAATGTAAAGGGCAGTTGAAGACTTTAAAAATTATTACATCAGCCACAGTTCTTCAAGGACGGCAGTTGAAGACTTTAAAAATTATTACATCAGCCTGAGTTCTTCAAGGACGTAATCTTTTTTTAAAATACCTCTTAAAGCAAGGCGTTTACTTTTAGACGATTATCGGTGGTGATCATCATGAATAATTTTTATAGATTCAAATCATAAACTGCAAGAAAAATAGGGAGATGTTATATAGGAATTAGAATTTTTCACCGATTCAATGGACGAAAATGAACAGCTACTTTGGCAAACAACCCCGCTTTAGTCCCATCATACCACCGAGTATGTTTTTCGTGTCCCTTCATGGCAAGAAAAGTAGATGGAGGAATCAAAGAAATGGATTGCCTCAGGGTAGCGTCTTAGCCCCAGCTCTTTATAACATTTACACTAACGACCAACCGTTGCCAAAAGCTACACGTCAGTATATATATGCCGATGATACGGTGGTGGCGGCACAAGGTAGGAGTTTTGAAGAGGTGGAACAGAAGCTGACTATGACTCTAAATGAACTTCCTCAGTACTATGACGCAAATCACCTCAAGTCGAACCCTGCTAAGGACCCAAGTTTGTGCCTTTCACCTAAACAATACAGAAGCAGGCCACGAGTTGAATGTGTGGTGCGGGGAGACCGTCTTAAGCATTGTCCTACACCCAAATATCTTGGTGTCATACTGGACCGCACACTGACATTTAAGGCGCATTGTATTGCGACAAGAGGTAAAGTCTCAGCAGGGAATAATATCATCAGGAAGCTCACCAGGAGATGCTGGGGTGCTAATCCTAATGTCCTCAGAACCTCAGCTATAGCGCTCAGTGTGTCGGCTGCGGAGTACGCTGCACCAGTATGGAATGCCTCGTCACATGCAAAAAAGGTTGATATTGCAGTCAATGACATTGCTCGGATTGTAACTGGGTGTTCGAAACCAACCCCAGTACACAAACTCTATCCTATCGTAGGGATCGCCCCTCCATCAATCCGACGTGATGTTGCTGCCGACGCAGAAAGGACGAAGCAAGAGACATACCCTCGTCACCCATTACACGGCCACCAACCTGCAGAGCGACGGCTTCGGTCCAGAAAGAGCTTTTTATCACAGACACGAGTCCTGGATGGATCACTCTCAAGCAATCGGGTGGCAAGGTGGGAGGCCACGTTAACTAGCCCTCCCATACCAGCCAGGGAGGAACTGGCTCCTGGGGGAGGCCTTCATTACACGGTGTGGAAGACCCTAAATCGAATCAGGGTCGAGGTACCAAAATGCAAGACACACATGCAGAAATGGGGTCTCTTACCAGACGAATAAAACATCTTGTGCGCGTGTGGTGCTGTTCAGGATCCTGGCCATCTGCTGATCTGTCCACGCCTAAACCATTCATGCACATTAGATGATCTTTTACAAGCGAATGACGAAGCCATATCGGTAGCTAATTTTTTGAAAAGCGAAGTCTTATTTCCGGACACGGAAAGTAAGTATCGAGTATCTACTTTATGTAATCTGTCAGATTTTACAACATAACAACGAAATCAACTTGACAAAATTTGAGAAAGAGTGTGAAATATCGATGGTAGTATGGCAGTAACACTCTATAACACTCTATAGTAACTATCTAACTAACTACCACTTGAACTTTGTGTTTGAAAGTTAGTACAAGTTTTGTTGTCTACGTCTTTCAATAATAGTTTGTAATTATATTTTTATTCTAGTCGACAAAATACATTGTATTACAAACGTCAGTTGGCATAATATTTGTGAAAAAAACATTACAATTTATTATTTACATTTTGTCAGGTTTTTTTTACACCAGTGCCTGAATCTTTTCCGCGGTATTTCCTACAATTTAGATATCCCAGTGGTTGATCATGAAATCGTCAACCGAGTACAGCAAATAGGATTTCAAAAGGCGTTTTAGCCGAGTTTTGAATTTTCTTTTTCATTCGGCGTGTTTGATGCTGGCAGGAAGTTTGTTGAGTATTGTGATACCAATATGCGATTGCAAAGACTCGAACGCCACACTTCTATGCTGCAGAGTCCGGTAATCGTCCCTGCTCCTAGTATCATAATCATGGACGTCTCGGCCCTGCATTAGTGAGCATTTATACTTAAAGTACATGGCCACATCCAAGATGTAGAGACAGGGTACAGTGAGCAATCCCAACTCATCCCTCACTTATCCCAAAAAGTTGTCAATGTAAGAGTTTAGAGAATGTGCATGATTTTAAATATTTAGGGGTTCATGTTGACCACAATTTTGAATGGGATATACACGTTCATTATGTTTGTAAAAAAATCAGGGTATGCGTTTGCATAATTTTCTATTTAAGAAGTGTTCTGCCAGTCATTTACCAGTCATTGGGTGAATCCATTATATGATATGGCGTGAGAGCATGGGGCAATGCTTCAAAGACTTGTCTGAGGAAAATTTAGCATCTGCAGGAGCAAGCGCTCAAATGTATTGTTCCAATACACATTATGCAGTTACCAGTAATAAAAAATTTTCATTTTGTTAGACTGCAACCTGTTAGTAAGTTGTATGTTTTTAAATACCCACTGATCATTTATTTGATGACAGCTTGAAAATAGTCAATAATCACCCATATGATGTTAGAAGGAATTATTATTTTGTACCAAAGCACAGGAATAAGCGAAACGGCACACGGAAGACTTCTCAGGTGCCGTTTGACGTCCCTAACTGCTGACGTCACTTGGAGGGAACACCAATACCGCAACGATACGATTTGAGCCATCGGCCTCGGTGGTGCAATGGATAGCGTTGCGGGCTGTTAATCCGAATTTTCCGGGTTCGAATCCTGCCGGCGGCAATAACATTTTATCAGCAATTTTTTCATATCAGCAAGTTTGGTTGGTTTGGTTAGGTTATGACAGTTTAATTTTATAATTAAAAAATTATAAAATTGAATTTTAGGCAATTATAATTTTATTTTATGAACAAAACTATTTCTTAGATTAGTAAACCTTTATTCGATTTTTCCATTATCAGCACGTTTGGTTAGTTTGTTGGTTAGGTTATGACAGTTTAATTTAATAATAGAAAATTATAAAATTGTCTGTTTCTTCAGACGCAGCAATTAGTGACGTCAAACGGCACCTGAGAAATCTTCCGTGTGCCCCACCGCAGGAATAAGTATGGAAGTAGAAAACTTTAAGTTTTTGTTCCCAAATGTTGTAATAACCTCACAAGTCATATGGTTTTTGTAAATAGTTATAGTACGTTTAAAAATTATTTAAAAGAACTTGTTTGGAATGATTTGTTACAAATTTAATGTATTACAATAATATGCACTTGCAGTAATTTATTTACTTTTTTAGTTGAAGTTCAAGTAATATATTATTGTTATTTATTCCAATAGTTTATTTATTTTTGTTACTGTTGAATTTTTACAGATATATGTATCTTTGTTGTCTTTTTTGTTATTAATTGCTCAAGAGACAATTAAGGACACACAAAACTGCATGCTACTGATTTAAACTGACAACACTGTATGGTATATAAGAAACAATATTTTTAGTGCAGACAAACCATTTGTAGACTTTTGTTTGCACTTTTGTAACCTATGTATTGGTAATTATTGTGTAAATAAATTTCTTGATTGATTGATTGAGATGTTCTAGATTTTCAAAAAAAGTGATCATGGTTGCTGTTTAGAGATTTGTATAGACCTAGACCTATAATGAATACTTGTCCGTACAAGGATTATTCTACTTTAATTGCAGTGACTTCAAAATCAAGGTTTATACAATTTTCGATTTTAAAGGTTCAAATTGAATTGTGTTCTTTACGAAAATTGCCACACCACCACACTTATGCGTTGTTCTCTGAAATGAAGATGACAAAGTGTAATTCAGAATTTTGAAAAGATTGATGTTTTGATTGTTAAAACGATACCGTAAACATATGATTGTTTAGAGAGTACACATAGCGTAGTTACCTGCAGTGCAATAGAACAGCTGTTGGTCCCATGAGCCACTGTTTAGACAAGTCAAGTGGGTGTACCCCGGTTCGTAGGCAGGTCTGTAGTTGTATTTGCATCTGGGTATAGCAATGGTACCGGGCTTCAACTGATCGTCTCTCACGACTTTGCCTTGGTAGATGTACTGAACCTTCATATTGTTCGGCGCCTTCAGTGGCGGGCATAGCTTTTCTGAAATAAATATACAGTTTGATTAATATACTACTAGTGAACATGTTGCTCGAAATCGAGCAATTGCAAAAAATTAAAGTAGTTTTTAAAACAAATAACTTTTTTAAAAACGAATAAAAGTCATAATTTCCGATGAGTTTAAAAGACTTAACTCATAGATTACGTACCTAACAGTTCCATATAATCAACATTTCTTGTAAATACTTTATAATTTTTCAAAAGCTGATCTGGTTTTATTTTATAGTGTTCTACAAATGTTGCCCAATTATGGCCGCATTAGGTTGTCCATGTTGATCTTCGTCAATGATAATGTAGTCTGCATGGTACTACCCATTGTCGCCAGTACCTACGTTTACAAATTTCAGTAATTTTTTATAGCAATAACATTTTGTTTACATTACTTAAGAACTGCCTGATTTTCTCCATAACCTCTCTGTCACAATTTTATTTGCTTCAATTGGCATTAATTTGGCTAGTTACTGTTAACGTAAGTTATATTTACCTGAAAAAATTCAAAAGTAAAAGGCCTAATGTTGTTCAGATGTTTTTTTGTTTCCCTTAAATGTGAATAATCAAGTGAATAATGCGAATCCTTCAATGAAAGTTTCAATAAGGTTTCTTGGATGTAGTCATATTATTTTAAAATCACTTGACTTTTATGAAAGCAAATATTTAATGTCCTTGCCGTACCGGTTTGATTCAGCCTTAGAGGGGTTTCCTTTGCCAATCATCGTAAAGTTAAGTCCGTGTTTCGTGTTTCCTACAAAATAGTAGCACTTCGGCTAACATCTTTGTTCATTGTTTGTGGGAATCTTCATATTGTAGGTGTTCTTCATTATATAGGATGATAACGATAGTATTTTTTTTTAAATCTCTATTTCTTATACTTGGTGGCGTTCTATGACTTTGCTATGTTTCCATGGTTAACAAATCGGCCCTTTCAATGATCTCTAAAGAAATACAGTACTATGTCGATTCATTTTTCTTATTTGGTAAAATAATTTAAATCGTTTAGACGTTCTCGATTTTTTACATTGTAATTAAGATATTAAATATTTAATTTAAACAAAATCAGTAATTGTACCTAATGCGTTTCATTGAATTAAAAAATAAATAACAGCAATTAAATTATACAGCTGATCAAAATGTAAACAATTATGTTCTCATAAGGATAACATGGGACCTTTAACAACCACTGAGGCAGAGCCCAAGGGACTGTTTTAAAAATGTAAGGTCAGTTTTTAAATCTACGCGACACGCTCTTTCCAATGAGACATCAAAGAATAAAATCGGTTTAGAAATGGCGGAGGAGTTCAACCGAGAAAGTTTCATGTATCGTATTGATTATATAGATATCTTGGCAGATAACACCACAATAATGGCATTGATACAGGCTATACGCAACTCATTGCTGGTATAAGACCATCAAGTGTATTATCTTGTCATTATTATCACCACATGTGACTTATTACGTAACGGTATTTAATTATCTTCATCTTTCATGATCAAGGACACTTCTGAGCTCTCAAGTCTTCTGAGCCTAAGACACGTTGACGTATCAGCCCCTCCTTTGGAAAGGGAATCTAATTGAACCAAACTAAATCGTGGTCATTTGACTAGCATTTTCAATACTAAACCAATTTTATAAATTGTTTGTCATTATTATTTGTGTATTAAGAGTGCAAAGTACGTAATTGCCGCTCGAGAATTGGTAGGCCATACATTTCGAGAGTGCCAATGAATGTTTGTGCTCGTAATACACACAATATTGTTTCTACCACCATAATTAACTTATAATAACACAAAGATTAACTTTATAAATGTATGTAAAATGCCATTTATTCTTTGTTAGATTTTTTAAGGTTATGATATTTGCTTACCGGTTGGTTATTAACGTACCGGATCCACAGCTGTCCAGAAACTTGGACAGTAACACCAACGATGAAATCAGCTGATTAGCAAGCGGGAATGATTTATTCCTGCTCTAGCCCTTAATTTGGCAAACAAATCTTTTTTTGAAAACTACATTTTCCTTGCAATATTTCAATCAAAATGGTCCAAAGGAACTTCAAAAAAATAATTTTAAAATTCTTATAATTATTTTTCACAATTTTTTCATGTGTGCCATTTTTGGCACTTTGCCAAAGATGCGGAGATTTCTCTAGGAATCTCATGTTGAATTAAATACAACAAGTTTATCTGTATAGCACTTAAAAATAAACTTTAGGGGTTGAATAAGTCGACATTATCACATATTGGATATCAAAATTGTATAACTATAATTATATGTAAGATATAAAAAAATCAATTTCTCCACAAAAGTTATTAAACCAATATAAAATTGTATAAACGTCATTATAAAAAATGAACTAAAATGTATACACATGTAAAACCTCTACAAAACTATGTGATTACAAAAAAAAAATACATTATTGTATAATTTATTGATATTTCATTAGTCATGTCCATCAGGAAAATCTTTTGAAATTTCATTAGAGTATGCCCATCAAGAAACGCCATCTACTTTTGGTGACACCCCACAAAACAATTGCTATTTTCATTCAGTTACAGCCTCGCATTGCACTTTGAACACTCTATCGACGATTTTTTTATTGTTGCAAAATCTGCATCGACCTCTTGATGAATACAAAGAAAGGGTAGTGTCCAGCACCATCAAAGTGTACATCTTCAACATACATCAGAGCAGCTGGTGTGAGAAGAAGTAAATCCTTGTCTTTTAGATCTTGTCTTTTACTCCTTTCTTTGGTTAGCGATTCAAAAATCCCATAACTAAAATTTTTTAGTGACATATTGTCTTGTTGGTTTTCAGTTTAATTATGTTCAACGTGGCAGCAATGCGTTATTCCACGATATGTCGATACGGTGAGCAAATATTTGTAAATACCAAAGTCTTTATTGGAATGCACAATCAACTTTCATATAAGAAGATTCACTTTCAGGAAAACTCTTTTTGGTAGATATTTGTTGCCATGGATGGTCGGGATTTTTTGTAAAGCCAAAGTCTTTTCTAAACAGCCTAGTGCAAAATCTTTCCTCACAAAAACATTTTTATTTTACAATTTGTGGAAATAAGAGACATACATTTACAAATATAAATACCTTTCACTGTTTTATAAACAGTGTGCCACTTTAGGCGTGCTCAATAAACTAAAATAAATAACTGCATCTTTGGTTATGTGCCATTTTTGGCACGCCCAAACATTTTCATAGTTCCCTGGTTCTTTGGCAATGTGCCATTTTTGTCACACTCAAATTGTTTGGTTTATAAAAAAATCAATATTCATATTTAAGCTAATTACTGACCTGGGTTATGTTTTCTCATCTTTAATCTGTGCAAATCACTTAGATATATAAGTAAACAGCCTAAAATATTGAAATAAGAAGTAATTTACTAACCTTCTACACTAAGCCTCCATACTTCCTTTTCTATACGTTGGTCTAAAGTGATAGTAATTTCCAAAACATCCACTATAGTGCACTAAACCATAATAGCAATAGGCAAAGAACCTTTGGACGCCGTTTGTTGGAATTAAGAAGTTAACAGGTGGATGTGACATTTTTTTGAATTCTCATGTGCCAATAATGACACGCTGTCAAATTAAGGGCTAGAGCAGCAATGAGCTATTTTGCGTAATGTTTACAGGTATAGCAATGTTATCATTTCCATGCAGGGGTAGGAAATAGTATATTTCACTACCAGTCAAGAAAGTGACCCGTTTCGGGTTTTCGATAGTGTAAAACACTACCTCGCCCCGAAATGGGACTTTCGTGATTTGTATTGAACGAAACTTTTCATAACGCTGAAAAAACTATACTTCGTCAAACTTTAAAAAATTTAAAAACTTCAGTTGTAACTTTTTTTATGTCAAGCAAAGTATTGTTTGTGTAGCGAAAGTAATGTTTATGTAGCGAAAGTAATTTTTGTATCAGGAAAAGTCAGCTGATCACTATTTGTTTTTTGTGTATAGAAATTGAAGGTTTTCAAAGATCTCAGCTGCATAGAAATGGGCTATTTTCGAATATATAGTGATGAAAAAGACTTTACATTACTTACGCTATTTACATTGGTTCAAATCTCAAGAAATCCGCTTTCTGCATCATTTACACTACAAGCTTTAACTTGGTTATTGCCTGCCGCATTTGCAACAATATCCGTTTAACCACCCGTTTACGAATCCCTTCTAAGGCCCCTATTAGACGAGGTAGCCTGGCGACGTCGCCAGCGACAGTAGCTGGCGACGCACTGGCCACCAAACCTAGTAGCCAGTTGAGTAGCTAGAATTTTACCGCTGTTACTCATTTTGTTGTGAGTGCTTATCTTGTACTTGTACTTTTTATGAGCGGTATGTTTACAGTGAATAATGAGTGATTATAAGTATCTTCTCCTTCTGTTACTTCTGAAGAAAAGGAGGCAAAGGAAGAGAAAAATATACGTTCATCCAATGCTTAGTGCAAGAGAATCGAAAGTGTTATATTACACCCTTTTTGATGAGCTCTGTGCGGACAATACAAAATGTTTCAATTATTTTCGTATGTCACAATCCAGTTTCTTCGAGTTGTTAGGTCTCATAAAGGATGATATAGACATTTTATCAACTGAAGTGAACAATTCACACACTCACAACACAACAGAACGCAACACAACAGTGTGCAAGTACCCCCGTGATATGAACTGACCGAGTGGCGACGTGATACTGGCGACCTAGTGTAATAAGCTCCATATGCTACAACGCAGCGTCGCCAATATGGGTAGCCAGTGGCTACCGCAGTGGCGACGGGGCTCGGTAGCCAGTCGGTCGCCAAAGTGTGGCTGCGTCGCTGGCTACCCTCGTGTAATAACATCCATAAGAATCAATGACCCTTGACAAGCTGAGTAGCCAGTTTGGTCGCTGGCGACGTCACCAGGCTACCTCGTCTAAAGCAGGAAACCCACTGGTCCGACACTCTCCGACACGTCACCTTCCGTCAAGGCTCCGACACCTTCCGACAAAATTACTTTGCATTATTTTAAATGGACTGTAACCCACTAGTCAGACACGACACCTTCCGATCGACACGTCACGACTACATTGCTCTCTGGGGCATTCTTGTCGGATGTCGGATCCGTCATTCCTCCACTCTGCGTGCACCAGGCCTAGATTTACTGTCTAGCTTTGTGTGTGATCACAATATGTGGAACGGATGTGGAACATGTGATCACAAGAGTGTGACGTTTTTGTACAATTATTGGTTACGGAGAAAATTCAAAGAATTTTTATTTTAAAATTGCCATGTTATTCTTATGGAGAATATTATAAAATATTGTAAGTTTGCTTTCTGATGGATATATTTTGATCACACTTGGTAAATTTCTTGATTTTATACTAAGTTATCAATACTTTACTAAAAACCACACTTTTTTACCCTCCCTGTAGCGATCCCAGGTACTCATAAAACCTAATGTTAATTAAATACACTTAATTGAAACTCAATTCAGGTAAATAGAAATTTGCTTAGTCGGCAGGTTTGCTGCGACGGGGGTATTATTGTTTACTTTTTTGTACTGTACTTTTTGCTAATTTCCCTGTAGTACAGTTAAGTAAATGTTACCGGAATTATCAAGGTGGGTCTAGGAAGGTCCTTGACCATAATATCATACTAACATCTCATACTAACAGAGACCGTCATAAATGTTATGGATTTTTTTTCATTATTTGCTCCCTAACTACTGCTTGTGAAACAGTATGTGATCACATGTTCCATCGCAACTGGCACTGTTAGAGTGGTGGTGTATTTCTCGTCGGAGGCCTACTGTCGGAGCCCGTCGGACCAATGGGTTAATGCCTTAAAATTGCGGAAGGCGTCGGAAGGTGTAGGAGACTTGACGGAAGGTGTCGTGTCGGAGAGCGTCGGACTAGTGGGTTTCCTGCTTAAAGGTCGATTCACACACATCAGTTACGGCACGTCACAGTAAAGTCACTTCAGGCACGTCACAGTTATCAAAAATATTCTTTGATGGATTTTCTATTGCGCTATCTACACTCATCCGTTGCAGTCCCGTCAGTCACTCTGCTGGCATCCGTCAGTCAATTTCAGATTTCTTTCCAACGATACTTTTTGATTCTTCAGGCGCCTGACGGAACTGTTTGAGGTTAGAAAATAGTGTTATTGTTGTTAAAATGGTTGCGTTTGTATTTTGAGTACTGTTTGTAACAATCAACAAGATGGACAATGATAATTTAATAGAATATAGGTTTAAAATTTAATTTTTTTGACTGTAAATTACTGTAAATATTAGAGACGGAAGACTGACTGAAACCAACTGACGGACAATTGACTGGGAAATTGCGGATGCAACTGCGACTGGACTGTAACTGAACTGCAACTGCACTGTAACGGAACTGTGACTGGACTGATGTGTGTGAATCGACCTTAATATGGGCCTAATTCTTGTCGGATGTCGGATCCGTCATTTCTCCACTCTGCGTGCACCAGGCCTAGATTTAGTCACTGTCTAGCTTTGTGTGTGATCACAATATGTGGAACAGATATGGAAAAAGTGATCACAAATGTGTGATGTTTTTGTACAATTATTGGTTACGGAGAAAATTCAAAAAATTGTGATTTTAAAATTCCCATGTTATTCTCATGGAGAATATTGTAAAATATTGTAGTTTGCTTTCTGATAGATATATTTTGATCAAACTTGGTAAATTTATTTATTTAATACTAAGTGATTAATATTTTACTAAAAACCACATGCTTACCCTCCCTGTAGCAGCAAGCCTAGTTACTCATAAAACCTAATGTTAATTAGCCTAAATACATTTAATTTAAAAGTCAATTCAGGTAAATAGAAATTCGCCTAGTCGGCAGGTTTTCTGCGGCCCCGGAGGTATTATTGTGTGTGTTGTGTATTGTACTTTTTGCAAATTTCCCTGTAGTAAAGTAATTGTAACCGGAATTATCAAGGTTGGTCGGTCCTTGACCATTGTAAACTCTCATACTAACAGAGATCGTCGTAAATGTTATGGACTTTTTTATTATTTGCTCTTGTCTCCCTAACTACTGCTTGTGAACAGTATGTGATCACATGTTCCATTGCAACTGGCACTGTTGGAGTGGTGGTGTATTTCTCGTCGGAGGCCTACTGTCGGAGCCCGTCGGACCAATGGGTTAATGCCTTAAAATTGCGGAAGGCGTCGGAAAGTGTCGGAGACTTGACGTAACGTGTCGTGTCGGAGAGCATTGGACTAGTGGGTTTTCTGATTGAGTCTATTGATAACCTCGTCTACTTGTAGAACATTTTTCATTGAATGACCACAATCAGTTTATCCTTATGTTTTGCGTAAGAGATTGCAGACAAATATATGTGTACTAAGCATTTTTTTATTTGCACATTAAATGTTTGGAGAAAGAATCATGGGGCTCTGATTTGGCTACATACCTGGAATGCAGTAGAACAAAGGGTTGTCGAAGTATCCAACGTCGAGGCAGGTAATGTAAGAGTATGGTATCTGGTAGGCAGGCTTGTAGTTGCTCTTACACTTCGGTGAAGCTATCGTTCCTGGCTTCATAGGCTGGTCGCAAGACACAATCTTGCCTTGGAACGAGCACTTGATGTTGAGGTACTGAGACTTCAATGGTAAACAAGGCACACCAGCTGAAAAATAAACGATTATCAGAAAATGTTTTCATAAGTAACTTACCATCAGCAATTATTGGATAAAGTATCTAAATGAATAACCCCACCGAAGCAAACCTGCAAACTAAGCAAATTTCCATTTACCTGGCTGGATTTTTACAAAAATATTCCCTTCAAATCTATATATTACTAGCTGTGTGCCCGTTCTACGCACGGGGATAGTGTAGTCAGTTGAAGTCACTGGTTAAAATACTACCTCGACCTCACCATTGTGGTTATTATTAACTTTTTCTGGTTGACATTTTTACTAACAAAAGGGCTCTTGTCTTTTTCGTGAAACACTGAGAAATAAAGACATTAATGCGTCACCAACAGACATACACCCAAAAAACACAGAATTTAATTTAGTAAGGAATTTGCTACGGTTTTACCATAGCAATGTACACATAAAATTAGTAAGCGCCGTCAATTAGTGGAAACCTAATTTTTGTAAGCTATTGTCGACAATGATTTAAAAAAAAGACTTAAATTTCCCAGCCATAAACAACACTGATCAAGGTCTTTTTCCCGGTTATCAAAACTCAAGTACATTTTGAGACCGGAGTACCTGAAAAGAGCCCGAAATTTTAATCCTCAAAAGGGTTTACTAATCCTACGCCTGAAAAGAGCCCGGGTCTCGAGAGTACCTGAGGAGAAGGTCGCTGACTCATGCGACTTTGCAACTGGCAGCTACCACACCCCGTTAGTAGTTGTATATACATTGTACCATCGTTATTTCCCTCTACATTATACATACTCTGCAGTCTTCTTTGAATTTCATAACAGTATCGGATATCGGTACCGGGATTGAAAGAGTTAGTTAATTTTTAAATAGTGTGTAATATGGTAGTGTTGTAGTAAATAGTGTTGTGTTGAGCGGAGCGAGCGAAGCTCTTTGAGATCGGACCTTATGCAAACTATGTAATCAATTAACTCAATAACGGCTGAACATATTGAATCCAAACCTACCAGGGGTATTTCGACAAATATATTTGATGTTACTAAACAAACAAATTTCAATTTGATAATACTGTACACTTTTAGACTGACATAAAATTTGCAATGTTTAACATTAGTCTTATGGGTTGCCATGTTGGTTACGAGATAACAACGTAGATGTAAACAAAGAATCGTAGCGTATGCGACTCGACATTGTGTACCCATGGGCACCTCAGCTTGCACATGCGCAGATGGCCTAGGTGCAGTTCCTGGGGTAACTGCTTGTAATTACAAAAGACAGTACAAAAGAAAAGGGCAGTTCGATGAATACCATTAAGCATTGATTAATAATGCAGTACACAGATTCGCATTACTAATTACTGTCAGCCTTATACAAGCAAATTATTTCTTTTGTTGATTCTTATTTCTATTAGTTTTGTAGCAAATATTGCTTAAAACAGCAAAATAAAATCTTCATTATTGAAAATTATAGAAACTGCATTTCCAAAGCATGTAGTCATAGTCATAGTCAAATTTCTTTATTTATCTTGCATTTACATACATAAAAAGTATTTTTTAGGTATTCAGTATTTTTAAATGTTGATAACACCTTTTACCTCTTCTTTCTTCGCCACAATCCTCAGATCGGGGAGTCGTCAAAATGTCTCCTTCTTCATCTTCTTGGCAGCCTTTCAGCTAGCCAAATGTAAGTGTGTATAAGTGTGTTCTTGTATGTTTTCCTTTGTTGAGTAATATGTTTTGTTTATAAGGTAATTTTTTAGTGTCTTTACAAATGTGGTATGATTTGAAATATTTTTAAATTTTTCTGGCAGAAGATTTATGTATTTAGATCCTGTGTATGTTGGGGTGTTGCTGAATTTTTTTAGTCTGTGTTGTGGCAGGTTTATATTGTTTTTGTGTCTGGTGTTGTGATTGTGATAATGTGACCGGAGAGTTGGATTGATTTTTTTTTGCTAGAATTATGGTTTCTAGGATATATTGTGAGAAAACGGTGGGGATTTTGAGCTGGATGAATAGGGGTCTACAATGTTCCAGATAGTGTGTCCGGGCATATCGTTTGTAGTACTTTCTTTTGTAGGATAAGTAGTTTGTCCATATTGTTTGCAGATGATGATCCCCATGTTGCAATTCCGTAACTCAGGTGAGAAGCAAAAAGCGAGAAGTAGGCTATTCTGGAGGTTTCTTCGTCGGTTATGGTGCGAATTCGTTTGATGCCATAGTGTGCAGAGGCCAGTTTTTTACACAGATGTTCGATGTGTTGCTGCCAGAATAAATTTGTATCAACAATTATTCCCAGGAATTTATTGGTTTCTTGCGTTGTGATACTGATGTTGGTCTAGTCGCTTTTATCTTCTAGGTTGTTGTTTGGTTTAAAATTGATGTGTGTAGTTTTACTGGTATTAAGTTTTAGACTTAGGTTGTTGCATATTGCTGTTGCTTGTTCTACTACTGCGGTTATGAGTTGTTGGTTATTTTGATTTCTATCTGTAGGTACCATTATGGTGGTATCGTCTGCAAATGAAATACATTTAAATTCTTTTGATAATTTTTCCGGTACATCATTTATGTATATGGGGAAGAAAAGTGGGCCAAGTATGGAGCCTTAAAGAATGCCTTTTGTATTCTGTTTAAGTGGTGATTTGGATGCTATTATTACGTTGTTCACTTGCTGATCGGTTTCAACATATTGGTACCTATGGTCAAGATAGTTCTTTATTAGTGCCAATGCTTCTCCTTCAATATGTACTTTTTGAGTTTTGTAGAAGTATATCCCAGTCCAATGAGTCAAACGCTTTTTGAAGGTCTAAGAAAAGTCCCGATGCATTTTTTCTGTCTTCCCAGATAGTTGTTATGTCTTCGCAGAGTTCTGCAATTGCAGTATTTGTTCCTCGTTTCTTCCGGAAGCCATGTTGACAGTTTGTGAGTAGGTTGTTTGTTTCTAGGTGATTAATGATTTGGTCGTATATTTCTCTTTCTAATAGTTTGGATATTGTTGGTAGGTTAGATATGGGCCTATAGTTTCCAGGATTTTATTTGTCTCCTTTTTTAAATTTTGGGTGAATCTTAGATATTTTTAAGTTTTTAGGTATTTGATTTTTGTTGAGTGAGGTGTTGATTATGTGGAGTAAAGATTCCGTTACTTCTTCTCTGCAGTACCTAAGCAGCTTTCCCGTGATTTCATCGTAGCCCGCAGCATTGTTGGACTTGATTTGGGGAAAAAGTTTCTTTAGTTTATCTTCTGATATGCATTTGAATTTTGATAGAGATGGTGTATTGGTTGTGTTTTCAATTTGTTCAATGTCTGTAGTGCAGTTCACTTGTTATGATTTAGTTCTTCTATTGGGTTTATAAAGAAATCATTTAAAATACTTGTAACTTCAGTTGGGTTTGTAATTTTCATGTTGTCCTGTAAACCCTACTGGACTATAACCCTACTGGGTTATGTTGGTTTGGTTTCTAACTGTCTTCACCCTTTCTGCGTTTATGGTTCTCCATATCTCCTTGGTTTTGTTGTCTGATTTTTCAATTTTATTTATTGCGTGTTTTTAGCGCTGTGATCTAATGAGTTGGTCGTATTCTTTTTTTTATCCTATAATAATTTTCTTTATCTTGAGTACAGCCACACTGTTTATATATGTTTTGCGCATATTGCAGTTGTTTTCTTTTTGAGATGGTGTCTTCGTTCCAGAATATGGTGTTTTTCCTGTATTGTATTTTTCTGACGGTCTTGGAGATAGCTTGGTCAAGGTTTATTAGCAAGGTTTTTAGGAATTCATTGTATTTGTTGTCAATTTGGTTTTAAGTATAAACGGGTTTCCAGTCAATCTGTTTTAGTAGGTTCTCCAATTCATCTAGATTATGGTCGGTGTATTTTCTACTACTTTTGTACAAGGATCCTTGAATTGTTATCTTATCCAATATATCGCATACAATTGTGTGGTGATCTGATATTGGGTTTTCGAGAGCTGAAACTTTTATTCTATTTAGTTCTAAATTTGTATAGCAGCCGTCTATGCTGGTGGATGTTGTAGCCTATCCTATATAAACAGACAGTAGCCTATCCTACATAAATACAGTTGCTAGGCCTGTACAGAAGTCAAGTTGCGACTATAGTAATTATTAAATAAATAACTAGGCTTATATAGAAGTCCACTTTTAACTAAGGTGTGCAAATAATTGGCTAGGCCTGTACAGTTACGATTACGATACTTGGGCATACTAGCCTAGAATAGTAGGCCTGTACAGAAGTTCAGTAGTTAAAACTATTTAAGTAAATGTTTAACTAAGTTTGTATTAGGTCTATTTTTAGCTCTAATGAATAAATAGTCGTCTGTAAAGAAATTCAAGTACGATTAGAAAAGTAGGCCATTAATTAATTAGCCTAGACTGCTTGGCCTGTACGGGAGTACAGTTATAACTAAAGCGTCATATGATAATCGATATTCCTCCTTTTTCTTTTTACCCGTAAGATTAATTATTGCAGCCAACAGAACAAGCATGCTGGCATCTTGATGTCAGGTTGGATATTCACTACAATCCAACAGGTTTTACATAAACATAACAACTCAACTACTTTCTTTAAACTGAATGGTGTCAAATTAAAACGTTCTCGAAGGCAATTTCCACTAAATCTTGCCTGTGCGATATCGGTACATCGCAGCCAAGCTGCATACTGGTACTGTATATCAGGCTGTGGTGGACCTAGGAAAGTCATAATTTTCCCTCGGCTTGACTTATGTAGCATTAGGAGTTATAAGTAACCATAGAGGGCTTGTTGATCGATACACTTTCTATAGAGAGAGTCGAAAGCATAAATAAGAGCAGCAAATGGAAAGCAAAGAAAAAGAGATTGGAAGACTCAAGAAAATTGCTTATAACTGTAGACTTGAATAATGAGGTTTATATTGATCAATAAAATTCACTTTTGTTTTTATGTTGTAATCCATAATATATTTGAAAAAAAAAATTGTATTTTTAAAGAAGGTTATTTTTTTATATCGATGCTTGCTTACTCCGCTCAATTGGCGGACCTGAGGCTGCATGCCTAGTCTTAAAATAGTAACCAGCTTTGCGGATTATTTAACGGAAAATCATCTTGATCATGGTTCCCTCTCCCCCCGCCCAGCAAATTTAGGCTGCAGATTCGGCGGATGTGTGGCGTACTACAAACGAAAGTTGCCATCCAACTCTTCCCGTCGCTACACCCAAATATATTTATTTTTGTCAAAACTGTTACTTCTATTCTATTCAAGTGGATTCATAGATAAGTACATAGTACATAGTGATAGTGCTTATCAAGCTGGAAGTAACAGAAGTATAAAAAAATGTTTCCAGCATGAATTTATAACTAACAAGCTATGGCAGTTAAAATATGTCAGATCGATCTTATGACATTTACAAAATGTGTTGGACATAAATCCCCACCTCAAATGTAGGCCTATCTTTCAATAATGTAAATATCTTTGTATAAAAAATAGTGTACTTCAACTGTGTTATTGTTTATTTCTCCTTTGACGAACCGCTGTGAAAGTTCTAGGAAAGAGCCCGGGCCCTTTTCAGACCGTCCTGGGAGGAACCTTGAAAGACCGGGCTCTTTTCAAGCGTGTACCTGAATGTTTTGGCTTTTTCAGGTGCCCCCTGTGAGACACAAAGAATTTCCGGTTTCTGACCTGGATGATGCCTAGTTATTTAATTTAATTTACGGTTACACATTATTGCACTTGCAATTAATTAAATCCGTTATGTAAGGAACAACTTTTTTTTATCTCACTTGGTTTGGATTTTCTTTCAAAACGTAATCGGAAATGTTTGCGGTATTTGTAAACAACATAATGTAAACATATCAGTGACAGCTAGAAAAAATAACCTTGATCCAAACTAACAGCTGTTCGTTATTTCATAGATGACGTATATGATAAATATTATTACAAAACTTGGGAAATTGGGGGGAAAACGCACAAAATTGGGTTTTTGAGCGTCCATCATTTTATTTACAAAGTAGTGAGGCCATATTTTAATGACTAAAGATACTTTCGCCAATCTCATGAATACATTAAAATGATTTGAATCTTGATAGATACTCTCGTTTTTCAGGAGAAGGCCGCATAAAATACCTTCTGGGCCGTGACAGACAGACAGAAATTGAGATGAAACTTGTTTCAATTGTATAAAACGTAAAAATAACCAAAAATAAATATATACCTAATTCTAAGCAATGTACAGAAAAAAACGAATTTTATTTATATAGCTTTAAATGACATTAAATTTAGTGAGTACTTAAGTTTGCCGCTACAGGGAAGGTATTGAGGTGTTTTTTTTTATTTTTTTTATTGTAATGTTGATAGCTTAGTGTTTGAAATAAACAAATTGGCTACATTTGATTAAAATACATCGATAAACAAGCCAACTACAACAGTTTATTTATTCTCCATAAGAATAACATGGGCATTTTAAATTTACGATTATTTTATTATTTCCGTAACCTTTAGGCATACAACAATATTCAAAATTATTTATTTTTTTAAGCTCTACAAAATGGTTTGGAAATAAATTATGAAATGTTGTGTTTTTTTGGTGAAAAATGGGAAAAATCTATTTTTACTCCATTAAACCCCTCATAAACCCCCGTTCCATTCATCCCATTATGCCAGTTCGTGAACTCGTTTGAATAAACGTAGGTTTACACGTTTGTACCAAATTTCATCAAAATCGGATATTTTTTCGAGTTATCGTGCTAACGGGCAAATAAATAGGTAAATAAACATGTATAGGCCTATAGATATATTAATAAACGATATATAAAATAAAATGAGTACTTTTAAATATCTATTCTAAAATACATGTATTATAAAATAATAAACGGATTGTGCTTTTGGCCTCTAGGGACTTAAAAACGGAAAAGTAAATCAGTCCCGGGTAGGCCTATAGGTCTTACCATGAGACCTACGGTAATAGCTACTTCCCTATAGGGAAATTCACTAAAAAGGGCATTTTTCACAAAAGGCACGTGAATAACATTTTAAGATTTATTTCTTTATATTTTGAAAATCTCTCATCTTTCCATTTAACAATTTTTTTTAGAAACTAAAGAATTACAGGTCCAAACTATATCCAAACCTAGTTCATTAATCATAATAAAACCAAAAGTTAAATTACGAACTTTTTAAAGTAGTTTGTGAACAATGCTAATGCAACGACAATTTTCAGTTACTGCTGAATATAATACATGATGTAAGTGACCGTACGATGGCATGAACGTTGCTTACGTGAGGCAAAGCGGACAAATTAAATGATCTTAAACATATGTATATACATTATCGACGATATAACAAGAGTAAGCGGTGATATCTAAGGTGGTTTAAAGATGTGTAAACATTCCAAAACCAAAATTGAAATTATGACTTGCAGTCAGATCTGTCTAGAGCTATGGGGGAACGAGCAATCCTAGTAATAGAACGTGGGACTTCGGTCCCCGATGTCAAAGGTTTGAATCTCAACAGTCACCAATAGATTGTATCTAAGTAATAAAGCCGCTACCTAATGAGCCTATCTTTTAAACATATGTAAAATGGTTCTGTGATAGAGCGTAGTATCCTAGCCTAGTAGTAGTAGTAGTGTGTAAAGGTGAGACAGTAAAAAGTCCACGCAATACAGTTATTGATCTTTTCCACACCATGTCTTACCTATACACTCTGGCAGAGACGGAGACCAGTTCCCATCCGTACAGAAGGACACAGTATCGGTAGAGTTGAGGAAGAACCCATCATCACATTCGTAGTAGAGATCCCACCCCGAGGGTACTGGGGTCCCGGGGACTATCTTGCAAGCGGCGTTGGATACGTGGGGAGGGCATCTATTGATGTTGGGTGAGTATCTGCCATTGACCATTGGCTGTGGGAGAATACAGCTCCTCTCGTCTGGGCTGCTGCAATCATTGTCATTCAAAGTTAATATTTTGGTAATGGTAAGCTTATTAGTAGATGAGTAAAAACAAAGGCATTCGTGACGTTTTGGGATCTGGAATCTTCTAACTTGAGGCAAGAAAGTTACTGAAACATAACACGATTAGTACAAGCCCAGCCAAAGCAAACCTGGTAAACTGGTGTACTAATCTTGGTATTTTAGGGACTTCCTTAATTGATGACGTGCTCAGATAAAACATCCAGAAACATCCTAAACAATAAGTTTTTAATGAAATATGGCTGCTATTATCTCTTAAAATAACAGGAAATATTTCTTAGAAAACATTTACAAAGTGTTATTCAAACCACACGCGCAAATTAAAAATTATTTACGTAATTAATTGAGTATGTGATCTAAAAATACCAGAAACATTAGGGGTATTAGTCAATTGCAACCAGTTCTTAGTGAATTGGAAAAACGTAATATGATATTCAAGATCTATAAAGAAACATGAACTTGTTTAATAATAATTATCATCACTAAATTACTCTTTTCGTTGGTTGTCGAGTCGTGTCGTTGTCAATAATGTCGTTTGATTCTGACTGAAGGTCGATTCACAGACATCAGTTAAGCTGGGTTTTCCTAGACGCGGAAGCGGAGAGCGGAATTGAAATTAACATGGCATTCCGCTCCGCTTCTAAGAAAACAGTAACATTAAATTGCCTTAAGACAAGTGGAGTCCGCTCTCCGCGTTCCTCTCTCCGCTCGCCGATTCCGCGCCTAGGAAAACCCGGCTTTACGGCACGTCCCAGTCCAGCCACTTCAGGCACGTCACAGTTAACAAAAATATTCTTTAAAGGATTTTCTATTACGCTATCTACACTCATCCGTTGCAGTCCCGTCAGTCTCTATGCCGGCATCCGTCAGTCAATTTCAGAATTCTTTCCACCGATATTTTTTGTTTGTTCGGACGCATGCCGGAACTTTTTGAGTTTAGAAAATAGTGTTATTGTTATTTAAATGGTTGTGTTTATATTTTGAGCACTGTTTGTAACAATAAACAAGATGGACAAAGGTAATTTGATAGAATATAGGTTTATAATTTAAAACTTTTTACTGTAAATTACTGTAAATATTAGAGACGGAAGATTGACTGAAACCAACTGACGGACAATTGACTGAGAAATTGCGGACGCAACTGAGACTGAACTGTAACTGGACTGTAACGGAACCGTGACTGAACTGATATGTGTGAATCGACCTTGATGGCAGATGTTACACTGAATCGGTCACAGATATAATAATTAGTTGTAACCTACCACTAGCTTACCTAACTAAGTTTAAGTGTTGCTATTAGCAGTGTGGGATGATTGCACTGGACAGATAAGCTATCTATTTTAGAAAAATGAAGGTTTAAAATAAATCAAACCCTAGGATCTGTTCTTAAGTTTTGGCCGTTTTAAAATGGATGCTTTCAGGACTCAGTTTAGCCTAGCCTAAACAACTGAGTTGGTAGCTTGACTTAGTGGTTCATCCATGTTTAGTTTATTAACACTAATAAATGCCTAATCTAGATTATAAGTTTCTTATTCTACTCCGTTATAAAACTAATATACATAGGCATAAGATTTAATTTTTGTATTAAATACTGGATGCATCATTAAGGTAACTCGGTTAGGTTGCTTTTTATAAATAAATAATTTCATGGATCACTAATTACCCTAATTCATCTAAGTAAGTGTGTTCAGTACATAATGACACTCTCTCAAAAAAGTACTAATCCTAACCCAAAAAAATATAAGTAAGTAGCTTTAGGCCTACAGAGGATGAGTGTTTATATTTATATAATTTATATTTATATCTCCGTGGTTAGGTTTTAGTTATGTTTGCCTTAAGATGGCTATAAGTTTAGGACTAGATATCAAATAAACTCCCATTTAACTTATAGGGCCTCGACTTCATTTTGCATGGGAACGACCACACTCATCCGGTAAACGTATATTTTCAGAACTTAACGCTATATCTATATCTATCTATATAATAATAGGCAAGCATGTGTGCATCGCAGTAAAAATCTACGATTACTGTTAGAAAGATATTTTCCTTTAGATGTGCAGAATCTCTTTAAAATTAAAATAGGCTCAAATATAAGCACAAAAATAAAAAAATAACATTGGCTTTAGGGGTAGCCATGCTGGTGACGAATTAACAAAGAAATATAAACCGAAAATCAAAACAAATGGAAGAAATTACAATCATATGTTTTATTTACAGCGTGGGGTGAAAATAGAGAAGCCTCTACCTTTGACTAACAACTAGACATTCTTCCCCATGTTAAAGTTGTCACCAGTTTTAATTAAATTCGTCGTAGTTGATGTGGGCCACCAACAGATTGCGCTGATCTAAATTACTAATTTATCTCGAACACACGACGATTTTTACCAAGTAAAATTTATGGAATGACTTATTAAGAGTTAGCTATAGCAAACTGTTATGACCCATCAACTTTGTCAGAAAAAAAAATAAGAAAAAAATATAATTTTAGACACGCATACTGTGATTGGTTCACTTAACTACATGTTTTTAATTTTAAAAAAATGGCAACAACTGGTCCATATAAATGGAATTTCTACTTCAGTATACAATTCTAAATACGGGTGCATTACATATTTTTGGTCGAGTTTTCGACCACTGGACGACCACTAGTACTGTATTAATAGACAAGCATGTTTATTTGAAACCTTTTTTCTCAGCTCTTGTGCATCATAGGCAAAATCTAGGCATACTGTTAGACAGATATTTCCCGTAGGTGTACAGAATCCCTTTATAAATTAAAACAGGCTGAAAATGAACACAAAAAATGATTTTAACATTTTAAAAAATAACATGGGACTTATGGGTTGCCATGCTGGAGACTAAATATCAACGAAATATAAATAGACAATAAAAACAAATGGAAGAAATTTCAATCACATCTTTCATTTACAGCGTGGGGTGAAAATAGACATGTCTGTACATTAGATATTTTTGGTCGAGTTTTCGACCACTGGACGCCCTATAGTACAATTAAATAGTAAAAAACTAGATAAGAAATATCACCCGTCCTCAATGTTATTTTATAGTTTTATAGTTTATGTGTTACTTTATAGTTATAATGTCCTTTATTGGCCCCTATCTTATTTTAAACTAGCTATATAAAGAAAGCTTAACTCCACTCACTCTAACCATATACTACTCACTGATAACAGATATTTCTATATCAGCGGTTTTTTTAATGTTTTTATTATGATTGATGTATGGAAACATCAGAATCTTAGTTGGGGACGCAGGATTACAAGTTCTTGTGTTACCTTTGTAAATGTAAACCATGCATTTTATGCCTATTGCACGATATACACAAGTAGGAAACTTTTATTTTGTTATTCTTGGAAATACGGATTAAGGCGGAGAAAGCTTAGGTAGTGATCAAAATCGGCTGACCTTAACTCAATCCTGTGAATACTTCCCACTCAATGCAATTTACTTAGTCCAGTATCATTATTCAAGCTCCAAGGTTGATTGTTGTTCATTGTTGAAAAGCGAGATGGTCTAAGAGTAGAGATCGGGGCTTTGGAGCGCGAAGTCCCGGGTTCAAAATCACCAATGGATTTTATCTATTTGATAATACCTCGACTTTCTGGAACTAGCCTGAAGTAATATGTAAAACAGTTCCGGGCTATAACCTAGTGTTCTAGGATGTGAAGGTGGGACAGTTAAACAATTATCATTCATTCGAATTCCATCGGTGATGTTGGAGTTCAAACTTTGCATTGGTATGGTGTACCAGGTTTAAGAGTTATAAATTATGCTTCATAGGAGAACACTTCGTGTAAGAGTTTTAGAACACCCAACGGGGAACTGCGGTTGTCCAGAACCATCGACGGTTTTGTTATGAAACATGTTAAGAATCCTAATGTCCTAGAAACACAAATTAGTGCTGTTAAACCGTAAGGTCTGATAAATGACTGAGTAATGTGTTGCGTTTCGTGGATTGAGGGTTTAAACTCCGTCTCCGTCTGGTCTGATTAGCAAGCCTGATGAGAGATTCCTGGCCTACTAACATGAGCTGTGAATGTTGTCAAGCTGGATTGATTAATTGTGAGTTACACCTCATATCAGATGCAACGATACTTTAGGCTCATATATAGGCCCCTGAATATATGGTTTGACCTAGAAATAATTAGAACACAGATGAAACCATTGTTGTTCGATAGTGAAAAGTATTGTGAATAACATATCAAAAGTCTCCAAAAATATCTTTGGTGGAACACCACCATTTTTCCAAAATGGCGGCCAAATCCAGTATTTTTTTGCTTTTTATTGAAATTCTGACTTTCCAGTCAATATTGGTGAAAAGTCGTCAATACATTAAATGTTCCTCCTGAAATTACCTTTAAAATGATACCAAATACATGTACCTACAACAAAAAATAAACCCCGTAGAAATAATAAAATATTTCAAATAAAAATATTTGTTATAAATTAATGTAATAGTCCATAAGCAAACTAAAAATAACGTACACAGGGATCGTATAAAAATTTGCAAGTAAACATTTTATGGTTTTATTTTTATTGTTGTGGTGTGCAGAGTGACATACCAAAAGTTGCAAAAAATCAGTCCACCGGAAACCCCTATATTAAGGAAAAAATGGCGGCTTATCCCAATATTGGACAAATTTTGCAAAAAAAAAGATATCACATGTTTTTTGCACATTTTTCGAGATATTGACTTGGAACCACAACCGATATTTTTTTGGATGGTCCGTACTTAATTTCAATAGGGGACGCTTTTTGGGCCACCATCTTGGATCTGCCATATTGGATTTAAATATTTTTAAATGTAGACTAATTATAGTGTTGTGACACAACATTATGAACTAGATTTCCACGCTGATTTCAATGCTGAAATCCGTTTTTAAATAGGTTTTTTCGTTGCTTAAGATATATTAAAACGAAAACTCTCCCCTATACATCACTTATGGACGTATCGTACTTTGAAAATGTGTTCGGATTATTCTTCTCCATGTATTATTAATGCTTGCAGTTCGTTCTAGCCTTAAAATATTCAGTGATAAAAGAGCTGTCATTTTAGTTAGCTTTCATTTTGTTTTATTTATAGTTAAAACAGACTAGTTGTAGACGAGGCACAAACCCAAACACAAAATTAAATTTAACTTTTTTTATCAGTTTCTGTTAAAAGATTTATATGAGTTGTTAATATGTTAACAAGTTCGTTCTGGTATCAAAGTATACTCAGTAAATGTTTGGCTTTAATTTTATTGATTATTAAATGACACATGACAAATTTAAAACGAATCATGTAGGCCTACCTTCAATGAACTATTGAATGAATTATTGTTATTTTGAAATTTGTCTTTAGTTAAAGACATTTATCCCCAATTCTAAATAACTCCCAATAAGGAATCCATAGCTAAAATAAATGTCAATACTTGAACGAATAGCTATGGCGAGTTTTTCCCCTTTTCACTCTGCACAACACTACAAAATAAAACCATAAAACGTTTGTTGAAATTTTTTAAAGGCCATATCCTATGTTTATCTAAATATAATTTCCAAGTTACACAGTTACAGTTATTTATAAGTACAGTTATTTATAAGTAAGTTAGTTATAGGTACCATCAGTCAACACCACTCCCAATCTGTTGGATCTGCTGGTGAACTGTTTCCACGCCATACTTGAACCTGATGGTACACCCTTAGGCCGTGGTAGTTTTCAATGTGTTTTTAAATTGTCAAAGTACGAAACGTCCATAAGAAATGTATGGGGGAGAGTTTTCGTTTTTATATATCTTAAAATCGTAAAACGCCATTTAAAAACTGATTTCAGCATTGAAATCAGCGTGGAAATCTAGTTCATGATGATGTGTCACACTATAATTACATTTAAAAATATTTATATCCAATATGGCAGATCCAATATGGCTGATCCAAGATGGTGGCCCAAAAAGCGTCCCCTATTGAAATTAAGTACGGACCATCCAAAAAAATATCGGTTGTGGTTCCAAGTCAATATCTCGAAAAATGTGCAAAAAACATGTGATATCTTTTTTTTGCAAAATTTGTCCAATATTGGGATAAGCCGCCATTTTTTCCTTAATATAGGGGTTTCCGGTGGACTGATTTTTTGCAACTTTTGGTATGTCACTCTGCACACCACAACAATAAAAATAAAACCATAAAATGTTTACTTGCAAATTTTTATACGATCCCTGTGTACGTTATTTTTAGTTTGCTTATGGACTATTACATTAATTTATAACAAATATTTTTATTTGAAATATTTTATTATTTCTACGGGGTTTATTTTTTGTTGTAGGTACATGTATTTGGTATCATTTTAAAGGTATTTTCAGGAGGAACATTAAATGTATTGACGACTTTTCACCAATATTGACTGGAAAGTCAGAATTTCAATAAAAAGCAAAAAACTACTGGATTTGGCCGCCATTTTGGAAAAATGGTGGTGTTCCACCAAAGATATTTTTGGAGACTTTTGATATGTTATTCACAATACTTTTCACTATCGAACAACAATGGTTTCATCTGTGTTCTAATTATTTCTAGGTTTTGCTATTTATTTTCTTATTTTAAGGCGCCTAATAATTTAATGTGTATGTTCAAAACCAGGGTCTCAACCATTTTGATTTAGTGTTCGCAATACGAGGAGAAACTTTAAAAATCTATCGATAAACCACTGAATAATCCATTTCAAAGGTTATGACTTCGTTTAGTAGTGTGTTTCAAGATTGATAAGCTATTTAAAAATAGATTGATTTACTTACCCTTGTCTCTTGGTCCTAATAAATCCATGCTTAGAGGCTGTTGAGTTCGGTTCTGCTACCACTGATAAAAATCACACATAAACACACATAAACAAAAGAGATTGTTAAGTTTATAATTAGTTTTAAAACAGTAAGCTTGTTTAAACTCAATGCATTTTGATGTATATGGAAAGAACAATAAAATCCGTAATAAAATCAAAGATTGACATGTTTGCTGTAGCACAGTATTGTTAGACTACCTTGATTTTACTTCTTTACAGTGTAATATTTACCTTAAAAAATAATATCTTTACCTAACCTATAAATATTTTTGAACTGACAAATTCAAACACAATTTTATCCACTAAGAAGGGAGCAAAATCGACCTAAAATCCATTCAGTTTAACCAAAAGGAAATAAACACAGCTTAGCAAATCTAGCATAGTATGATAATAATGTTATAAGGCAATTTTTAAATCTATCACTGTGACTATTGTAGTAAAATGTGGCAAAATTGACATAAAAGCCTACCTAATACTAAACAGAAAATCGGGTAAACCGATCGCAGCATTGTCCACAACATCAAGACTCACTGGACATCGCGTCAATGTAAGTTTACGATTATACTGAGGTTCCCGACCAGGAAAACCCAAGACATGAGAGCAAAGTCTTTGATGTTGACCTTGAACTCTTATCAGCCTGGTTCTTCCCAGGCGGTAATAACGATCGTAATTTGTTCTGATTAGTGGCAGACGACAGTATTGACCCTAAGATTCTGTATCTGAGTTGATGATAACAATGTGTTCCTAGCCTACTTATTGATTGATACCATTGACTAAATTATACACAGAATAGACTTCCCATGTTTTGTTATAATTTTAAGCCAATAAAATAGACGTTCGGGCCATCTCACTAGAGGGTACTAGTGTATTAGGTTAAATATAAAATCAATGCAGTATTATAGCAAACAGCTAATTGATTTATCACTTGAAACAAAATATTGTCATTAGTTGACTATCTCAACAGATTGCACCAGGTTTTTGGCTTCAATTTTTTACATTACAAGGGAAGTATATTCTATGTAAAGTCAATGTTAATTATGAACACCAAAAAATGATGGGATATCAGCTATTATTATGGTAAAAGTAATTTGAGAATGGAATAGTTTAATCAACCAATAAGCATTTGAAGTGATATAATCTGAGTTTACAATTAAACGTGTGTAGTTCCCAATGGTGGTTGATGCTTCCATATCAAGTATCAATTTACATGATATTGCTTTGTTGATTAGCATGCGCGGAATCAAATAACTGTGCGATGCTTTGTATAATATAATTAGCAATAACTTAATCAACAACTACCTTATAATGGATATAACACAATTACCGGGACGTGTGCACTAATATTACGCATCAAGGTTTGTAATGAGAGACATCATATAAGTGATTAGAAATAATACGATACATTTGTTAATCATTATTTACTTTCAGTGAATTCTACAAAAAACGAAGTACAAATTAATAGCTTCTTAGTAAATATACAAACGTACATCAATACTATGGCAGATATTCGGGGGAGCGAGCTGGTCTAGTGCTAAAAGCGCGGGACTTTGGTTCCAGAGGTCCCAGGTTCAAATGCCGCCAAATCACCAATGGATTTTATCTATATGATAATGCCACAACCCCTAGATCTAGCCTAAAGTAATGTGAAAAACAATTCCGGGCTCGCACCTAGCGTCCTAGGACCAAAAAAAACCTTCACACGTGTCTTTGTAAACTTGTAAAACAGCATATTCCTAACAAGACGGACGATTTGAGCTTTGCAGAACAGTTGAACACACATTTTCCTAAATTGTCTGTTAAACGTACAGGCTTACAATTTTGTTTCACTTATGATGCAAGAACACAATTTATAGAATTGTTTACCCACCTGTTAAATAGTATTCCCACAAAGAAGAAACTGCACCGTGACAAGGAACATTGAAATTGTTTCAAAATAACTAATGTTTCAGTCGCAGACTGACTATTGAAAAAAAACACCAAATTCAACGCAAGTGTTATCAAAAGCGCATGTGTAGGATATTAGATTTTCCCCGACGAAATATGAGAACCAATGGAGTGGAATGTAAGCTCCTTATTGTCTTCTGTCACATTTTGATGGTTTTATTATGAAACTAAAAATAAAAAAAATGAGCTTTTCCCACATTTAAGAACAAGTTGCAGGGCACCAAGTTGCTCGGTATGGCTTATTTCGATTATAAGAGGCAATATAAGGGAAATTTACGTTTTATTTACAACTAATTTTGGCTTTTATTTTTAATTCCAAAGGAATTTCAATGTTGTATGATTTAAATTTAAACCTGGCAATTGTTATGTTAACTATAAAACAAAATTGTAAAATTTATCCTTAAATAAAAGTGAAACATTGAGTCATCAACACGAAACACTTATCATTACTTGCTCTTTATGACAATATAAGATGTTTATTTACACTACTTAAAGTCAATGCTAAAATGTTATAATTGTTGTTACACGAATACTTGAAGGTTTTTTCTAGTATTCGTGGTTGTGAATAATGGTCTGTCTTTGAATGTCGTTTTGACAGTTGGTAAATTTAAAACAACTGATTGAAAATGTTTTTTTGAATTCCAATTTACATAAAACTTGGAGTACGCTCCGAACTCGCGTATGAGAATGGACGAAGACAATTCCATGTACATATATAATCTGTCTTTGGCCCCTCTTATACCCTGCCCCTGCGGCACGCCTCAGGAGCAGTGATGACAAGTCCACCTCAATGGTTGCTGGAAGTTTGTCAGGATTACCAACTTAGTAGTTTCTACCCACCTTTAGATATTTGTACCGAGTGTAGTACTTGGAATAATGGAATTCCATTTTCCATTTCCATTTCGTTTTGTCATGAGAGCCGAAGCCCCCTGACTGCATACCCGGTACCTATCCTTTAGGACATACCCGGGCCCCATGATGTAGGCCGAAGCTTACGCATCAACCTTTAGCACATCATGGGCGGATGACTTAAGGTCATCAGGCTCGCCGGCTGCCGAAGCAGACCCTTCGGAAGGAGGGTTGCCCCTCAATCCTAACCAGGGATTCCGGCTGCTTGTTTAAGCGTCACTCCACCTGGGTTCCACTAGGTCGAGACCTAGAGGTCCATGGTAGAGCGCCCTGACGCATTTAGTGCAAGCAACACTCGGGACCTATCTAATCCCTGACAGGCAGAACCCGCCATCAATAGCCAGGAGGAAGGGGACCGTCAGCACGCTCGGGGGGAACCCCAACCTCCCATTTACACCGCTGCCCGATCGAGGCCTTACCCATTGCTGGGAAACCAGAGATAACCAGAGCGATAGATCCCCAGATACCCCTGGCGGACTCGGACCCAGCACCCGATCTACTTCGTTTGCCCGTCAGACCCAACATCACTGCCAGGCCATCAGGGTTTCCCAAAAGGAGGCAGGTATAGAAGTGGGACCCACCCGGATGAACCTATCCACCAGAGGTGGCGACACCCTTGACTCAATTGAGGTTCCGGGAAGAACCCCCCACACTCAAGATAACCATACCGTCCGTGCTCAGAGACAGGGATTGGTTTGCATAAGTACCTACAAACCGTTGCCCTCACACTGCGGAAAGTTACGTTGCCCTTGAGTGTCCCCGTGAGCTGCGGGTACTTGCCCGTTTTCACCTCCAGGAAAGGTTACTTCCAAAGTCGAGGATTTGCCCACTGAATGCTGGTCGCACACAACAAGCAGGCCGAAGCCCAAAGAACCACAGACACAGGTAGGTTAGAGATTATGATGTACTTCCATCTCTCCTAGAGCTAAACACCCCTCCATCCTGGACAAAGGAATGTCACTGGGACCCAATGCCCAGTCGTCCATGTCTGTGGCCAACTTGAAAATGCCGATACCAACACGGAGCATTTACCTCCCCTCTGGGGGCTAGGTATTTCACCTCCCAGGACGAGGCTACTTCCAAAGTCGAGGATATGCCTCACAAAATGTCAGTCGTACACGACAGGTAGGACTCAGTCACAACCACAAGCTACAGGCAGGTGAAAGATCTATGAACTTAATCAACACTAGCAGAGCTGAACACCCCACCACCCTGAATGGAGGGAATGTCACTGGGTACTCTCACTTTGGGTAAACCCAAAGAGGCTGGCTTGTCCAGTCGTCCATAGCTTGTGGTCTACCTGAAGTGCCGGTTCCAACACCGGGCAATTACCTCCCCTCTGGGAGTGGAATAATGGAATAGTAGATTTACTTGGAAATGAATTATAAATGGCTTGGAATAATAAAATTATATAATTTACTTTGAATAATACTTCCCTGGTGGCAGCCACCACATAGTAAGCCTCCAAACAACATTGTACATTTATACTATGTGGTCGCTGCCTGGTGGATCACTCCACTTAAACTATATTACTGTGGCAAAATATTTAGCTCGTTTATAATAATAGTAGTCCTACCGTACTAAATAAATAATATTATCGTGAATAGTAGAATGATTATTTTAATAACTCGTAACCAAGAGAGATATAATATACATGCATTGATTATGTCAAACTAAAATCATTGTCCTTTAATGATAAAACTAACAAAACTCAAAAACACAAATTTCAGAGTGAATATTTAATAATTTGTCTTGCTTGAAACACGTACGATTTGAATAAATAATAGCTTAGATGAAAGCTGGTATTTCACTAAAAGTTCTTAGACTAAAATATAAAGGATTATAAAATTATAACTGGTGAAGGTACATCTTAAATTAAAGTAAGAATTAGAATAAAATCAAATTATGTGTAATGGTCGTGTAATACAGTAGGTAAATATTTGCCGATGCTTTATGAGAAAACTTGGCGTGCATGCCTTCTATTTGAATCCTCAATAATAAAAATCGGTCAGGTAGAAGAGACAAACGAACTAGGAAAAGAGAAACCAAATTTAACTCCCATAAGAAATAAAAATAGGAACAAATTTCGTTTACGTGTATGCCGAGTGGGATTATAGATCAATACATGCCGATGCTTGATGACAAATCTGTGCGTGCATACCTTCAATTTGAGACCTCAATCATGAATATCGGTCGGGTAGAAGAGCCTAACTAACTCGGCAAAAGAAAAACCAAATTCAACTCCCATAAGAAATACATGGGGAGTAAATTTCGTTTTCGTATATGCCGAGTGGGATTACAGATAAATACATGCCGATGCTTGATGGCGAATCTGTACGTGCATACCTTCGATTGGAGACCTCAAACATGACAATCGGTTGGGTAGACCCATCGATGTATAATGGGTAGACCAGCCAAACGAACTCGGCAAAGACAAACCAAATTTAACTCCCATAAGAAATACATGGAGGGCAAATTTCGTGTACGTATAAACCGAGTGATACTATAGATAATTAGATGCCGATGCTTGATGGCAAATCTGTGCGTGCATACCTTCAATTTGATAACTCGATCATGAAAATCGGTTTAGTAGAAGAGCCAAACGTAGTCGGAAAATAAAAACTAATATATATATATAAGAATAGTATATTACGTTACTAGTCCTGAAAATAGTTGTTTACCGGATGACTGTAATCGTTACCGTGCGGAACGGAGTAGAG